AGAGCCAGCAGTTCCCCGGCCGAAGACGACCTTGGGGCAAGGGCACGCTCCCCGGTGCACACGGAGGTGTCCCTCCCCCAGGACTGCGCCCCCTTCTTCTGGGATGGCTTCCCACCTGGGGGGAGACCCCCCCACCCACTGCCAGTCCTGTCAGCGGTCTGGGTGCGGCCCCCGCCCTTTCCTATGTGAATCGTGTGGCTGGGTCCACATAATAGGTGCACAGCGTCCCGGCCTCAGCATTATTGGGGTCTGGGCATGTGACCTCATTTGAACCAATCAGAGTCCTATCGGCGCTGGTGCTGGAGCTATTGGGGAAGTCCTGTGCGCTCGCTCTCTCTCTCTCTCTCTCTCTCTCTCTCTCTATATATATATATATATATATTTCATTTTACTATCCACGTTGCTGCCAGATTTTTGGCTTTAGGTATACATTGGCAGCTCTGTGCTTGCCCATCACCTTTTTCCCCCCAAACCAAATATTATACCCAAATGAATGTGAAATGAGTGGACCTCCTGGTTCCTAGGTCGAAGCTCAACCACTGAGCCACGCTGGCTGGGCTTTTTTTTTTTTTTTAAATCCTCACCCAAGAACTTCAGAGGGAAGGCAGGGGAGGTGGGGGGAGTAAGAGATCAACCAAGGGTTTGTATGATGCATATAAGCGTGAGCAATGGCCACAGACACTAGGGGGGTGAGGCCATGTGCTGGGGGTGGGGGTAGCCAGGGAGAGGTCAATGGGGGGCAGGGGAAGGAGACGTATGTAATACTATATGTAATACTTTAAACAATAAAGAATTTTTTAAAAAATCCTCACCTGAGGATATTTTTCTACCGACTTTCAGAGAGAGTGGAAGGGAGAGGGAGAGACAGAAACATCAATGTGAGAATCATCGATCGGTTGCGTCCCGCACGCACCCGGACCAGGGCTGGGGATAGAGCCTGCAGCCCAGGTACGTGCCCTTGACTGGAATCGAACCTGGGGTCTGTGAGTCTGTGGGCCGCTGCTCTATTCACTGAGCCACACCAACCAGGGCCTGTGCTCTCTCTCGAGTGCCTGGGAGGGAGGCCCTGCAGGCCTGACCAGGTCACAGCCGGACACCAGGCGGGGCCTGAGGTTGAAGGCCACACAGAAGAGGGCGGAGCCAAGAGAGAGAGGGACAGCTTCCTGCCCCAATGAATTCCTGCCTGAGGCTGAAATACACAGATCCCTCGGTTTGTGAGCCGACCAATCAATCCCCTTTCCATGGTGCCCGGAGCCTGACTTTCTGCCCCTGGTCACAGACCTCGGGGGATCAACCTCCAACAGTGAAGCCATTCCACACCCCCACCCCCACCCCCACAAGACTGCACCTGAGAATGAGGAAACCAAGTGCCCATTAGCAAGCCCTTCGTTAAAAGCCAAAAGAATCCCCGGTCTTGGACGCTATGCTATTGATAAAGAATTGCTTGTGAGACCCCACGAAAGTGCTTCAGCACCTTGGACAAGGGCAGCTGGAGGGAACCCGGCCTCTGGTGGACTCAGACAGGGCCACGCGCTGTGGCTCATCCACCAGCCTGTGCCCCTTGGGTGGCATTTCCAGCGTGAAGATGGGCGTAGAGGAGAGAGAGAGAGAGAACCCCAGGGCGGGCGGGGCCGGCCAGTGCCCACGGCCATCGTATCTGTGTGTCAGCTTATGTTTCGTTCACTTCCTCCCCTAATAATTAAGACTACAAGGGTTACAAAGTATAGATAGAATATACGATGGGACAAAAAGCCCTGGCTGGTGTGGCTCAGTGGATAGAGCGTCGGCCTGCGGACTGAGGGGTCCCAGGCTCGATTCTGGTCTGGTGGACTCAGACAGGGCCACGCTCTGTGGCTCATCCACCGGCCTGTGCCCCTCGGGTGGCATTTCCAGCGTGAAGATGGGCGTTGAGGAGAGAGAGAGAGAACCCCAGGGCGGGCGGGGCCGGCCAATGCCCACGGCCACCGTATCTGTGTGTCAGCTTATGTTTCGTTCACTTCCTCCCCTAATTAAGACTCATACAACGGTTATAGATAGAATATAAGATGGGACAAAAACCCCTGGCTGGTGTGGCTCAGTGGATAGAGCGTCGGCCTGCGGACTGAGGGGTCCCAGGCTTGATTCTGGTCAAGGGCACATGCCCGGGTTGCAGGCTCGATCCCTAGTAGGGGGCATGCAGGAAGCGGCCGATCAATGATTCTCTCTCATCATTGATGTTTCTCTCTCTCTCACCCTCCTCACCCTCTCCCTTCCTCTCTGAAATCAATAAAAAATATTTTTTAAAAAGATGGGACAAAAAAATTCAAGTCGTTTTAAGAAATAAAAATAGCCCACCCAGCGTGGCTCAGTGGTTGAGCATCAACCTATGAACCAGGAGGTCGCGGTTCGATTCCCGGTCAAGGGCACAGGCCTAGGTTGCGGGCTCCATCTCCAATGTGGGGTGTGCAGGAGGCAGCCGGTCAGTGATTCTCTCTCATCATTGATGTTTCTCTCTCTCTCTCTCTTCTCTCTTCTCTCTCTCTCTCTCTCTCTCTCTTCCTTCCTCTCTGAAATCAATAAAAATATATTTTCTAAAACAATAAAACTTAAGGGAGTTTACATGACATTTTAAGGAAGCATGAACCAGCTCAGCGAGGCAGCCTGAGAGCTAAACTGCCCTCCGCTGGCCAGGTTCTCCCGGAAGTTTCATCTCACACCGAGCACGTCGGATTACAGGGCGGCCTGGCTGGCTTAAGGCGCCGTGGGGTTTTCTGTGCTCGTGAACTCCCTGGTGGGCATATTTTTCTGACTTTGATCTTCTAAGCACAGCGAGAGGTTGGAGAATGAAGTGATTCTCTCTCTTCACTTCCACAGAATTGCCCACTCAGAAAAGGGCACACAGAAAATGGAACCGTCTGTTTTTATTTTTTCAAATCCTTTGTTAGCTTTTACATAATGGAACTTAACTGAAGGTTAATATGTAAAAGGAGGCAAATTGAAATGCTTTTGCTGTACAACAGAGCCATGGAAGATAACAGTAGAAATAGGCGTTTCGCAACGTGTTCTCGAGAATTCTGAATTCTGGGCCCTTTACCAGGTGTACCGGTTACTAATGCGGATTAACCATCACCCGGTTACTAATGCGGATTAACCATCAACTGGTTAATGCGAATTAACCATCAACCGGTTAATAATGGGGATTAACCATCCATCAACTGGTTAATAATGTGGGTTTTTATCAATAGATGGGGTTCCATATATGCTGATATATTTGTGATTTGATATGTGTGCTATTTTGTTGTATTGACAACAAGCTTCAAAACTTCCTATGTCAAATTTGCTGAAGGTGTTAACATCATAGATATTTTTACGCTTAAAAAATGTCAAATTTCGTGCCAAAAAAAAAGAGCATTTGCGGGAAGTTTTAATTCATTACTTTATTTTGAAGAAAAGTGCTGCTGAAAGTGATCCTATACTTTGGGAAGCTTATGGTGAACATGCTCCATCTCATGACACTTGTGAACACTGGTTTAAACGCTTTAAAAGTGAGGATTTCGGTGGGAAAGACAAGGAATGTCCAGGTCAACCAAAAAAGTTGGGGCGACAAGGCCAGCAGAGGGGGGCAGTGAGGGGTGACCAGGCCAGCAGGGGGGGCAGTTAGGGGCAACAAGGCTGGCAGGCAGGGGAGC